GGGAGGCTATGAGGGTCCATTTGTTGGAAGGAAGATCAGACTTGTGATGCATTTGGTTTAATTGTTTTGATTTGCTTTGGCTTGGCCAGGACACTTGAACAGGTGTTTCAGGCCTTGCCACACTTCCCACCTTTATACCAGCAACACCAGGACTGCTTTCTTTCCTCCCTTCCTCCTCCTCTATCCATTTAAAAGTCATTAATCGTTTATTTATTTGCTTATTCATGTGTGTGTGTGTGTGTGTGTGTGTGTGTGTGTGTGTGTGTTCTTGTGTACCATGGAGGTCAGAGGGCATCTTATTTCCTTCCTTCATGTTATATCTGGGGGAATCAAGCTTAGGTCATCCATTTTGGTGGCAAGCATCCTTACTTATCGAGTCACCTCATTGACCTTCTTTTTTTCTTTCTTTTCTTTCTTCTTGCCTTTTAAAACTTTACTTCTCTTTTCTTCTTTTTCACTTGCTTCTTTTCTCCCCCTCCTCTTTCTCATTCTATTTTTCCTCTTAATTTCACCTTTATTTGTTACCATGTGGGCTTGATAACATTTGAGCTAGTTCACAAATCTAATCTGTCTGTATGTGCTTTGATAGCAGAACACATTAGAATCTTTGCCAAATGACACATGGTGGAGCATGTGTTTTTCTTGCCCACTCTTTACCAGGCTGGTACTTTCAGGTTGCATCATTACTTCCTTATTTTATTAGATGAACTTCATGACCTAAAGAGGTAGAGTAGACAGGGACTGTTGAGTTATTGGGAATAAGAGGAATCCTCTGAATACAAGCAATCTGTCACTCAGTCTTTAATACACTTATGCAATGCTTGTTATGGGTTAGACATTATTCTGTGACTCCTTCTCCTTCCCTCTTTGTTTTTTAAAAAATATAACTCAATCAATGCCCCATAGCTGAATGAGGCAGGGACAGTAATTGACCTCACTTTATAAGTAAATAAACTAAAACTTCAGAAGGTTAAGTACTTTGTCATATAGCAGGGATTCAAATATAAACTAAAGAGTTTTGCTGCTATCTCTACATTTATTTTTCCAGCATGAAAGACCAATTTGATGGTTTATTCTGCTTATGAAAATAATTTATATGTTTTGTAACAATTTAAATATCATGCATGTGACTCTGTTTCTGGACTTGGCTCAGTCATGGGTCTTTCTTTCCTTACAGTCATGCCACACTCTTATTTTAAAACTTAATTTATCTGTATCTCCACACTTTAAAATGCTTATATTTTTCCTTTTGTAGGTGGAAGGAGAGACCTGTTTATTCTTTTTTTCATTGTCATAAAAGGTAAATATATTTACAGTGAAGGAAGATGATGTTTTGATAAATGTCTGCACATGAAATAGCTAGCTCAAGCTAATTAACATACGCATTGCATATATGTTATTTTTTTTGTTTTTAGGATATTTATTATTTTGTTTTTACATCCCAAACAAAGTTTCCCTTTCCTCTTCTCCTCCTAGTTCCTCCCGACATCTTCTCCTCTTCCTCTGTTTCTCTTCAGATACGGGTGGACCTCCCATGGATATCAGTTAGTCATGGTATACCAAGTTGCAGTGAGACTAGGCACCTCCTCTTCTATTTAGGCTGAACGAGGCAATCTGGTTGGAGAAATGGGTGCCAAAAGCAGGCTACAGAGTCAGAAAAGTCCCTTCTACCACTGTTAGGAGTCTGACAAGAAGATCGCATATATTCTAATTTCTAAAATGATGAGAACATTAAACAATTTCAGAATAAAATACTATGTGTTGCTATCTCTCAGCACTGAAAATACCTGATGCAGAGTCCATACGGGGTTTGGCTGTTCTCGGCCCGCTCTCTACCCTAACCTTTCCAGCTTATTAACTTCCCTCCCGCCAGCTTCTCATCCCTATATTACCCTTCCATTTCAGCCCTTGCTCTGTTGGTGATCTCTTGGTCTCTTCTCTCATCCTCTCTCTGGTCTGCCTCTTTTAACACATACCCTCTTTTCTCACAGCCCAGTTCAGTTTATTGGTCATGTTCGGTCTGCTACTTTCCTCTCCCTGCTCTGGAAGCTTCCAGATGGCTTGGGCTGTACTCTCTCCCTCACATCTAGAATAAAAACTTTCCTCTCAACCATAAAATATGTTATTAATAACAAACAAAACATCCACAGAGAGCATATGACAGGGTCAAGCCAGGCAGAGTTCCACCCCAGTGAAGAAGTTATTTACAACTGATATCTACTGACAAAGGGAAAACCAGTTTTCTCTAATGGAGTGTTTACTGGGTACATCATATTCCATACTGCAGGGCAGTCCCATGCTCTGGAGTAAATATGAACTCCATGTTTTGTGGGGTTTTGTTTTGGTATTATTTTTGTCTAATTGCTTTTTGTTTGTTTGTTTGTTTGACTTTTTTTTTTAAAGTAAAGCAAGACAGAACATAAAGTTGAGAGGACAGGGAGGTGAAAAGGATTTTGGAGGAATTGGTGGAGGGCAAACATGATCAAAATACACTGTATGAAAAATTATTTTAATAAGAAGCAAACCAATTTAAAATTTTATTATAACACACACACACACAGAAAGAGAGAGAGAGAGAGAGAAAGAGAGAGAGAGAGAGAGAGAGAGAGAGAGAGAGAGAGAGAGAGAGAGAAATTAACCAGACCCACAGACTACACAACTCAATGAACTTCTGTATAGGTAGTGCAGACATTCAGAACAGAAGCTGTGGAATTTCACATTGGATTTTACACTTTCACAATCAAATACATTTTTATGCTCTTGTCTTCGTTAGGTTAGGGTTTTATTTCTGTGAAGAAGACACCATGACCATAGCTACTCTTATAAAGGAAAGCATTTAATTGGGTAGGATTACAGTTCAGATACTTAGTCCATTATCATCATGGCAGGAAGCGTGGTGGTGTCCAGGCAGACATGAGAGTTCTACATTCGGATCCTCAGGCAGCAGAAAGAGAATGCTGCAGTGGGTGTGGCTTGAGCATCTGAAACTTTACAGCCCACTCCCAGTGACACACTTCTTCCACAAAAGGTCACACTTTTTAATAGTGTCTCTCCCTATGGGCTTTTGGGGGCCAGTTTTATTTAAACACCACACCATTTATCCATCACCCAAAGCAAAAAAATCCATGACAGAATTAGAACTGGAAAAACAACAGACTTTACATCCTCTTTCCTGACTCATATCCATCAGCTGCATCCAGTCCTTCCTCATCCCCTGATATTCAGCCTTTCTCCCTCTCTTTTCTTCATGTTATATTGTACCCACATATATATTTGTTTACACATATATTATTGATTTAATGCCTTATACCTTGCATTCTAAGTCATCCATTTTCCTGTAAATGTTTTGATTACATTTTTCTTTAGAGTGGAATAATATTCCATGAAATACTGTTGTTATTGTTCACTATCCTGTTCAATATAGCTCTTGAATTTGTCTGACTGAAATTTCTCCTCCTCTGATGACAATCTTCCCCAGTCCTTACCCCACCTCCTATAATTATCATTCCATTTTCTTTGCTTTTATAATTTTTCAAGTGCATCTTCTTTCTTGTTAAACTCTCTGCTAGCATTTTGATCAGTTTACTACTAGATGTGAGGTCATGGGTGAGATACTTTAGGCTGTATACAAAACAGAATTGGAAGATGGTGGCTGTGAATCTAGACATCCAAATCTCCATCTTCATCAAGGAAGTCAACGTTTGTTCACAGTATGTATAGAGTTAAATTATTTTACAGATATGAAAATATGAAAAGGAAAAGTTAAAGGAGCCAAGAGCATGGGTATTGGGGGAATGATGGGGTGAGTCTAGACAGGGTGGGGGAGAAATCCTTGTTTTGACTTAAAATACATTTTAAGATTTATTTTGTTTTTACTTTTAATGTATGTGTATTTACCCATATGTATATATGTACACTATGTGTGTACCTGATGCCCATGGAGGCCAAGAGAGGATGCTGGATCCCCTGGACTTAAGTGAGCCACTACACAATGGAGCTGAAGCCCAGTCTTAGGTACCTTGAAAGAGCAGCAAGTGCTCTTAACCTCTTAGCAATTTCTCCAGCTCCTTGACTTAAATTTTTTATTTAAAAAATACACATAATTATGTTAAGTGAAATAACTCAGACAAAGAAGTGCAAATGCGGTGTTGTGGGATATTTGTACACTGTGTGAAGATGTATTACTGTGATTGGTGTAATAAAGAGTTGAATGGCCAATAGTTAGGCTGGAGAAGATAGGTGGAATTTCCTGGGGAGAGAGAGGAAGACGAGGAGGAATCTAGGTGCATGGATCATGGTAGCAAGATGCCAGGGAGACACTGCAGAGTTTGGACAATGGTACAGAATAGAGGTACCCAAGCCATGTGAAAGAGCATAGGTTAATTTAAGTTAGAAGAGCTAGTGGGACAATCCTAAACTAATGGCCAAGCATTTCTAATTAATAATAAATCTTTGTGCCATTATTTGTGGGCTGGCGGTCTCATGAAAAAGCATTGCTACAATACGTTGTTTTCTCTCATATGGGGAACTTAGATTTAAAATTTTGTGTGTGTGTGTGTGTGTGTGTGTGTGTGTGTGTCTGTGTGTCTGTGTGGTTGTTATGTAGCTTTTAAAACCAGAGAGAGGATCAGGAGAGAGTAGACAGAGATCCTAAGGGATATGGGAAATAGAGAGGACAATGGAATTTACGTATTAAGAAATTGGGAGGGGGGCGGGACTGAAGGAAGGACCGTTGGAGGGGAGTGAATGAGAGAACACAGTATATGTATGAAGATTTTGTTTGTTAGACTAAAATTAATTAAATATTATTAGTGAGTGACATTTAGTACATTGATGATACGGTGCAGCTAGCACTTCTGTCTTCTTCCACGACATTCTTTCCACTCCTAAAGAGACCCTGCACTTATTGAACAATTTCACCTACCCACAGACCCACTTCTATCATCCAACATAAGCGCTGGTCTGCATCTATTGTTTTACCTTTTTTGAACATTTCACATAAGCAATACTGCAGACATTTCTCCAACTTTCAAAGAATGAGTTATTTGAGAAATTTGTGTGATGTGTTTAGATCACATTCACTTCTCCCACAATGCACTATTTTTCACTATTCACACAACTTTTCTTTGTGTGTGTATTTTTAAATTTAAACCTATCAAGTAATTTGTGCTGCCCATATAGCCTTGGGTATGTGGGCTTCCACTGGATTACAATCAAATTATGGGGCGGTGACACACGCTTAAAGAAAATGAACTCGCTCTCCTAGTAGCTATCAAATGCCAATAACTCACCGTTGGGACTTCATGCTCACCATTCCTCTCCTGGCTGGGATTTGGTTTTGAGAGGCAGTCTTTTCCAGTTGAATGATATGCAGCAGTGTCTTCTGAAATAATAGAGCAATTATGATCTGGGTATGTAGGTCAGTTGAGTGACTTGCCTAGCATCGGTGAAGCCCTGGGTTCTATCCCCAGTACCACATAAAACCAGGTATGGTGATGTATGTATGCCTACAACCCCAGCACTCACGGGATGGAGGCAGTGGGATCAGAAATTCAAGACCATCCTCGGTTACAGACCAAGTCTGAGGCCAGCCTGGGTTGTGTACATCAACACAAATGTAAGATAATTATGATACAAGCTAATGCACGTGTATAGCTGTCCACTCAAGAGAGTCTCTAGTCTCTGATTCTTTTCCTCAGGGCTGTGTGTACTGCAAGCGATGCAAGCACAGAGTGGTGAGTACATCTCCCCAGTACCCCCAAGCCTCCCCAGGGTTCAACTAGTAAGAGGTCATTGATGCTAACCTAGAGGCTGTGCTTCCCTCCCAAGGCCTGTACCCTAAGCCTTCACTCTGGGCTGAGCCCAGTTCCCTGGTGGCCCTGGAGCAGTCAGTCACTCTGAGGTGCCAGGGGCCTCCGGTTGTGGATTTATATCGCCTGGAGAAACTGAAATCTGAGAAATATGAAGATCAAAACTTTCTCTTCATTAAGAACATGCGAATAAGTCATGCAGGACGCTACCGCTGCTCATATCAGAATGGGAGTCACTGGTCTCCCCCAAGTGACCACCTTGAGCTAATAGCTACAGGTAATTGGAGGGAGGGATGGGGTGCTGTTGGTCGTGTGACTTCAGTTCTGGACTTGGAGAGGGTGAATGTGAGGAATGTGGGTGCTAGATGGTAAACCCCTAAATTCCGTGGTGCTAGTGCTAGAATGAGACAAACGAGTCTTGGTCTCACTTACTGAATATAGGGGTGGTGTCTCCAGGATAGTCATCAGTCAAGACAAGTTATTAATTAAGAAATTAAAAAAGCATTCTTGGATAATTTCATGCTTGCAAACAATGAACTATAAATCATGCCCATCATCTACATCCCACCTCCAACTCTATGCCATTTCTCCTAACACATCCCTTCCCAACTTCATGTTTTCCCCTTAAAATAAAACTCACTAAGTCTAGTTAGAGCTGCCTGTCTTTGCATGGGTATGGGGACTCTCTGGAAAAGATTTTCCTTCTCCCAACAGCTTGCAGCTGCTGGCAGCTCCTCAGTGAGGGAGGCCCTCTCCCTTCCAATATTAAAATACTGGCTTGATCATGTATGGGTGTTCATAGCTGCTGTGAGATCATATTTTGTAAATCTTCTCCATGCTCTTAATTTTTTCCTGCTCCCTCTTCCTCAATGTTTCTTGAGTCTTAGAAGGCATGTGCATTAAGTGTCCTGTGTCGGTCTGAGCTAGATTGTTATGTAGTCTCAGAGCTTTTTAAATTTTGTTTTTTAAAATAATCTTTTTTATTTTACATACCAATTCCAGTTTCCTCTCCCTCTTCTCCTCTTGCTCCCCTTACCTTCCCCCATTTCCCATCTTCTCCTCAGAGAGGGTGAGGCATCCCATGGGGAGTCAACAAAGTCTGTCTCATCACTTGAGGCAGAATGAAGTTGGCCCCACCCCCAAATCTAGGCTGAACAAGCCATTCCTCCAAAGGGAATGGGCTCCAAAAAGCCACTTTATGCACTAAGAATAAATACAGGTTCCCTTGCCAGTGGCCCTGCAAACTACCCAAGAGAGGGTGCCTTAACTGCCCTTTCCCTGCAATCAGATTGAGGACTAACCTAATTGTCATCATAGAATCTTCATCCAGTAACTAATGGAAGCGGGTGCAGGGATCCACAGCTAAGCACTGGGCCGACCTCTTGTATTCGCAGAGTTCTAATCAAGCACAGAAAGTGCTTTACCTATAGAGTCATCTCCTCCGCGTGCTTCCTGCCTTTAACACAGTTTTCTCTCTTCCCAGGCATTTATGGTAAGCCCTCCCTCTCAGCTCATCCGAGCTCAGCAGTTGCTCCAGGCAGGGACGTGACTCTGCAGTGCCGGACCAAACATGGTTTTGATCAATTTGCTCTACACAAAGAGGGGGATACTGGGCTTTATAAGAAACATGATAGATGGTACCGGGCTAATTTTCCCATCATCACAGTGACTGCAGCTCACAGTGGGACTTACCGGTGTTACAGCTTTTCAAGCACATCTCCATACCTGTGGTCAGCCCCCAGTGACCCCCTGGTGCTTGTGGTTACAGGTAAGTGGGTCCAGATCCAAGATTTTCTCTGGTATTTGTAAACCCTTGTGGAAATTTCGAGGGAGTCAGAGGTGTGGGCAATGAGAGCCTCCAGCTCCAATCAGTTTTGGAGGTGTATGAGTGTCCTATAGCTGCTGTAACAAATCACAACAGACTCTCGCTGGCTCATTGTAATGCAAATTTATTACCTTAACATTGTGAAGGTCTCAAGTCTGTGAAAGGTCTCACCGTTATAAAATAAAGCTGTCAATTATTACTGTTCCAGTTACAACACGTAAGGTATATAACCAACCAGAGGAATGTGATTAAATGTTAATAAACATAAAAAGAGATTTACATCACTAGCACCAGAGAAGTGCATATTAAGAAGATTTGTGAGATTCCAACTCACCTCAATCAGAATGGTGGTTATTAATAAAACAAACAAACAACAAATCCTGATGAGAATGTAGACAAAAGTAAACTATTATCAATGGTCACTAATGGAAAATAGTCCAATCACTATGGAGACCAATATGGAGTTCCCCTAGCAAATTAAACATGTATAACTCAGCTATAGATGTATCACAGAGACACTTATAAACCATTGCTTAATTGTAGCCCTGTTTGCAACAGTGAAGTTATGCAACCAACTTACATGGCCATCAACAGAGGGATGAATAAAGAAATTAAATGTCGTTCTTAAACAAAGGGATATTTTTTAGCCATTAGGACAAATGTCACATGTTTTCTTTCATTTGTGGGTCATAGATTTTATATAGATACATAAAAATCTTATGTCTACGTACAACAGGAAAGCTGAAGCAAAACTAACCAGGGCAGTGGTTCTCAACCTGTGGGTCATGATCCCTTATGGAGGTTGAAATGATTCTTCCACAAGGGTTGCTAAGACCATCATAAAACCTAGATATTTATATTACAATTCACAACAGTAGCAAAATTACAGTCATGAAGTAGCACTGAAAATAATGATTGGGGGGTCACCACCACTTGAGGAAATGTATTAAAGAGTAACAGCATTAGGAAGGTTGAGAACCACTAATCTAGGAGAAACAAGGGGACTAATGGGAGAGATGAGAAAGTAGAGGGAAGCAGGGCAGCGAAAATCTGTTCAAAGTACATTATATACATACATATATATATAATACATACATACATACATACATACATATGCATTTTCATATAAATACAAAAAATAGCCTTACATAATGTAGTATAATAAAGAAACAGTTAAGGACAACAGAAAGTTACAAAGGACTGCAGTATATAAAAGAATCAAATTAAATAAAATGAAATGCATTGTTGAAATTTTAGTGGCAAAATCTCTTTTGTTTATTTTTCAGGAGCACTTTGGGTTTGTTAGCCTTAAATTGATTTGGACTAGTGGGTCACTCTTCAATGATAAAGTCCTGAGAGAGAGGACCAAAGATAGAGAAAAGTTTGGGACTGGAAGTCTTGCACATGCTGTGACTTATGCCAAGCAAACCTTTTAGGAAGTCTACTTAGATACTATTTTCAGGGGAGAAATGGGACAGAGTGAGCAGAAGATATGCAATGAGACAAAGTCAGCACGAGGCTGACCAAGCAGTGTTACACAAGGGGAACACAGAATCTCAAGATCATGACAGAGCGAGCACACAGTGGCCTTATGACTGACAACTCCAGTTGTCTCAGGGGGAAAACCAAGTTCCCAGGAAACAGAACTTTGGTACTTTTAAGGTCCTGGCCCCCAGTCCTGAGCAAGGACAAAGAACTAAGCTACTTTTGTCCTTTCTTCAGGGCCTCTGAAAAGCCTTGGGTCCATACCGCTCTCTACATTTTGCCATTGTGTCAAGTTGCCTGGGAAAAATTTACAGGAAGAAAGATTTATTTTTGTTTATAGTGTCAGAGACTTCAGCTGTATTCCTGGGATCATGGTAAGGCAGAAAGATGTAGTAGAACAAGGTCATTGAGCTCATGGCAGCCAGGAAGGCGAATGATCATAGGAAGGGCCTAAGTCAAGCTATACTCTCCAAAGACATACACCCTCAGTGACTGACTTCACACTTCTCCCACTACCTAATAGCACATTTGGAATTTGAATCCATCAGTGTATTAATTCATTGGTTGTGTCAGATCTTAATGTGGGATACTCCTCTGTATGCTGTGAGTATCTGTTACTCTCGTTGGTTGCTAAATAAAGCTGCTTTGGCCTATGGCAAGATAGGATAGAGCCAGGTAGAAAATCCAAGCAGAGAGGCAGTGAGAAGAAGGGCAGAGTCTGAGAGATGACAGCCTCTGAGGAAGGAAGACATGCAAAATATAAGGTAGCAAGCTATCAACCATGTGGCTAAACATAGATAAAAATTATGGGTTAATTTAAGTTGTAAGAGCTAGTTAATAATACGCCTGAACTAATAGGCCAAATAGTTTGTAATTAATATTAAGCCTCAGAGTGGTTATTTGGGAATTGGCAGGTGGGAGAGAAACCTCCAGTTATAGGATGCTTTTTGATGTACTAGTCTCTGGAAATGTTCTTATAGATACACCTATAGGTGTATGTTCCTAGTTTCTTAGGTATATCTCAATCCAAATAAGTTGATAGACAAGAGGTATCACACACTTATTGTAAAAATATAATAGTATAGGTAATTGGAAAGTAAAAATCTGAAGGTTTTTCCTCTTTGATTTTCCAAACCACAATTAATTATTAGATTTTCTTCCTTAGCAATTTTATTGTCCATGCTTCTATGGAAATAATGAAGCCTGAGTAAAAATTATTAGTTCACCAAGAAAAGAGATATAAATATATCAAAGATTATGAGATAGATAACCAGGATGACAGATAACCATATGACATAGGGTCTTTTAGACATGATATGAAAGCTGCACCAATGAAATTTTAACAATATGATTTCCCAAACAAAACAAGTATAATGGCAGCCCCAGCTGACATTGCCAACTGAGTAAAATCTCACAAGGGCCCCCCACTAGATGATGAGGTATAGGTAATCAGTAGCTCCTTAAGAGAGGGAGAATTTGTCTTCTCTGGGGACAAAGTTCATGATAGGTTATTCAATATCAAGTGAACATCCTTAAACACATGTGCATATGATCAACACTAAATGTACTCATTAGGTTATATGTTATACACATACAATAATGAAGAAGACGTCATGAATTTGAGATGGAGTAGGGGAGACATGAGGTGAGCTGGAGAAGGAAAAGTGTGGGGTGGTGGAAAAATGAAACTATGTATGAAATTCTCAAAAAATTCAATAAGAAATCAGTGAACATGTAACAACATAGCAAGAATTATTTTGCATTCATAAATTGCTGAGTTTTTACTTTTGCTTCAATTTTTGTAGTACTTTTTTTCTCCTTTTAAAATTTTATTTTTTAAACTCATGATATTATGTATCCCAGGCTGGTTTGAACTTACTATGTAGTGGAGGATAACCTTGAACTTCTGAGTACTGAATCTACAGGCTTCAGCTACTATGTCTGGTTTATGTGATGCAGGGGATGGAGAACAGGACTTTGTGCATAAGCAAGCTATTCCAACTGAGTTGCACCTTTGGTCTACATTTTGACTTTTCAGTTTTGATTTTTCTATAGAATAAAAACAAGAAAACATTATTAAAGAACTGAAATCCTGATTTATAGATTATAAATATGATTTAAAATAATGAATGGAATATATCTCTGCTAGGGCACATACTCAGCATGCACAAGGCACCCAGGTTCACTTCCACGTATCAAAAAATGTATGAATGAATGAATAAAAGAAGGAAAAGGATTATCTTATGCTGTTCTAATACTCAGAACACTGTATACTGTTTTGGTATTTACCTCCTCTCCCATTGCATACTCCCTCTCACCTGTGATTCCTAATGCATTTCCAAAGCTTTATCCATGGTTTTTGTCTCCACATATAATTCCTGGGACAAGTGCCAGTCAAGTGTCAAATGACAAGTAAGGGGATAGGTGACAAGGGTCCGTGGAAGACAAAGGTAAGAAAGCAACTGTACAATGTACCAGGGAACAGGCCAAACATGCTTTTCAATCAGTCAGCAGCAGGAGCTTCTTCATACTCATTTGCTGCATGAGAAAAATCAAGTCACAGAAATGTCTCATTGTTTGTTCAGAATTCACAGTTAACAGACTTACAGGGTATTGACTTCTCTTCTTTTCTGATTTCTCAGGACCCTCTGCCACTCCCAGTCAGGTACCCACAGAGGTGCCATCTCCCATAACAGGTGAGTTCAGTCGTTTCTGGTGTCTGGGGAAAGAAGTTCTATGATGAAGGTGCCCTCAAATGTAGTCCCCATTGTCAAGAGTTTTATACTCACAGGCTTAATAGGTTCAGGAAACATTTTTGTTAAAACAATAGGCAAACTCATGTGAAGATAATGAACTAAGGATAGAAGGAGCATCCTGAACAAGATGTTAAAAACTGGTTCTTTTATGACACCTGTTTAAAACAGAGACACAATTCACATACTATGTGTTCACTAAGATGGTTATAACTATACAAACACAAACCAACCAACCAATCAACCAACAAGCTAAACAGTCAACAACCAGTCAACTAACCAAACAACTAGCCAATCAACCAACAAACAAACCAGATAAACAATCAAGTCACATGTTGGAAAGATTTAGATACTTCTACAGTACTGGGGAGTTGTCAAATAAAGCATATAATTTGAAAATTAGTCTTATAGTCTCACAGAAGTTAAACAGAATTATCCCGTGACCCAGTGATTCTGAAATTCTTGGAGCGGTACTAAAAATTTGAAAACTTATTGTTTTAGTTACTTCTTTTTATTGCCATGATCAGACACTATGACCAAGGTAACTTATAGAAGAAAGAGTTTACTTGGCCTTGCAGTTTCAAGGGGTGGGTGAGTCTATGATCAACATTGTAGGGGAGCATGATAACAGATAGGCAGGCAAGCTGTACCTGAGAGCTTGCATTTTGATCTACAAGTATGTGTGTGTGTGCGTGTGTGTGTGTGTGTGTGTGTGTGTGTGTGTGTGTGTGTGTGTGAGAGAGAGAGAGAGAGAGAGAGAGAGAGAGAGAGAACTGAAAACTGGGGTGGACTTTTGAAACCTTAAAGCCCACCCCAAGTGACATACCTCCAGTCATGAGGCCATCCACACCTGTTAAACTTTCCCAGTTTCTTCAAATGGGGAACAGACATTCAAATATATGAATCTGTGGAGGGAGCATTATCATTCAAGCAATTTTACTTATGTTCACACAAATTCTTATACTTGGATGCTTATAACAGCATCATTCATACCAGCCCTAAAGTGGAAACAAGTTCAATGCCTATCTGTTGAGATATGGTCCAATTCTATGAAGTCTTTGGGTACTAACCATGGCTGTTTGAATTTATTAATCTCAGTAGTTGGGAAATGTGTGTTAGATGAGGGAACTTTAGAGAACTCAGTTATCCCAGAAGGGGTCTGGAGAGTGGGGCCATTTGGGATGAACTGTTATTATTCTATTTCCTTATAATATTCCTGCTTATAACTCTTAGAATCCCCCAGGAGATCTTCTATCTTGCCCTCAACCAAGGCATCTACAACTGGTAAGTAGGCATTTAAAGCTTAATGCAAAAGGAGCATGAGGATGGGTTTTTGTTTCCTATCAGCAGAATCTATAGACATTTCTCTTTGAGTCAGAATTTTATGCAGCTACTCTGACCTTAAGCCCACTATCTGGCAGAGGATGACCTTGAACTTCTGTTTCTCTTGCTTCCACCCCTTGAATCCTGGGAGTGAAGGCATGTGCCATTATGCTCTGTTTATATGGTGCTGCTTATGAAACTCAGGGCTTAATGTGTGCTAGGAAAAGCAGTTAACCAGCTGAGTTATCTTTCTGGCCCCTATCTATGTTTTTATTTTTTGTGGTAGAGTCCCACTATGTAACCCTGACTGGCTTCAAAGTTGCTGTGTGAACCAGGGTGGCCCTAGATTCACAAAGATCTATTGGCTTCTGCTTCCCAAGTGCTGGCATTAAAGATGGGCACTACCACACCAGGCCCACATTATGTTTTATATACACATTAGATATAGCTTAAAGGTTATTCTACATAATACTTCTTTTTTATTTAAAAATTGTACATACAGTATGTTATGATCATGCTCTTTTGTCTCCCCAATTCCTCCTGGGTTTTGATCACAATCTGTCCTATGAAGATCAGGTGTGGATTTTCTTCACTTGTGGCTTCATGTCAGTGCTTGGAAATGTCAAATTTTGTAATATTTCATATTTTGTATTTCCAGATTAGCAAAGCTAAATCTGTACTATTATTTATAGGTCAACCCATTGTATTATAGCATTGATTCCACTTGATAGATGATAAAATCGACTCACAGATGTTGAGATACTTTCTAGAGGTCCTTTATATAATAAGTGCTGTATAGGGAAGTCAAATCTGGGCAGCCTGACTCTATGGTTTGTGTTCTTGTTAAATGTCATGGACTTCTGCCTCACAAGCACATGAGAACACATGTTTATATCTAACAGGGGCAATGCTTCCATTTCTTTACCCTTGGCCCCTTTTTCATTCTTAAAGAAGTCTATGAATGTCAGTGTCTCTCCAGAGGGGTGAAGTCCTCCATTTGGTAAATGGTTCTGTCTATACCCACTTCATTTGTATCCCATCTCTTCATTCGGAGCAGAGTATTTCCCCTGTATATGGAATATGTAGATCTGTTATCTTGGGACCTGGTGCATAAAACATCAAGGGAAGTAGAATATTAGCATATAGAATTCAGAAATGATCAAGAAGGTTAAATGGGAAGGGTGAAAATTCCCCAATAGTCAAGTAAGGACATTCCAGCTCTCCCTTACTCTCTTACAGTTTTCTTCTCTTATAAGTCAGCAATATAACCAGGTGTTGATTGTCTGAGGAGGAATCATACTGGGATTCTAGGAAGGGATTGGTGAGAACATCACTCGATAGAGAACTGGGATTCTTCAATTCTGACTCTTGATGGGTGATGGAAGGACCCTATGGGAATGTGATGATCATCATAGCTGATGGAAGATAGTAGAATCTCTATCAGGTGTATGGAGTGGGGCCTGGAGAAGAGCCTTTTTAGTGTCATTTTCAACTTTCTTCTTTTGTTTAGGGTTTTCCCACCAGCACTATGCGAAGGGGAATCTGGTCCGGATATGCCTTGGTGCCATGATTATAATATTCCTGGTGGGGCTTCTGGCAGAGGATTGGTACAGTCGGAAGAAACGTCCACCACACAGAATCAGAGCTGTGCAAAGACCACTCCCACCCCTCCCACTGGCCTAGAAATAACATGACTTGTAGGATAGGGGTGGATCAGATGTTCAAAACCATGGGCACCACCATTAGAACCTCAGACATGGATATAATAAAAAATGGGGAGGTTTTATAAAGAATGTGTGTGGAGAATGAGTCAGAGTCAACAAGGGAGGACAGAGGGTCATAAGCCTTCTTGGTGTTCAATCAAGCAGTTGAGTCAATGTCTTCTTTGCTCTAAGAATTTGTTATGTTATGGGAAAATCTAGGGAAGGTCTATCTTTTTTATATCTTGCATATTGTAGATATCATAATAGACCTCTGTAATGGTATTTCTTCAACCTTATCTAAGTTGGATTCTAGATTGATTTATTTGTCTTATACAACTGACCTATTCCATCCTTTATATATCCAGTGTTCTCTGGTAGTCTGTGTTCCTCTATGGTAGTCTATAGATTCAGCCTTTACCCTAACCTCATCTTAAGTCACAGTTGGATAAATCTTTTACTTTTTTAGAATGGAAACCTGTTCTCCAGAAAGTATGCTGGGGGGTTACTTTTCATTAATATATGATAATCTATATGATTTCCTTTTGTTTATAGCAGATATATTTCAAGACTCTAAACGGATGCCTAAAAGTATCAAGTCCCGTACACATAATGTTTTTCCTACATATATTATTACATTCTGAGACCATTAAATAAGAGGTGTCTGACCAGGATCTCTGTGACTGTTGATCTGTTAAATAAGATGACTATGACATCCTCATGAGCAGGCAGTGACTACACCTCCAAAAGGTTGGCTCGTGTCCTGGAATGTGATGGTGTAGGATGGCATGAGAGTGTATCTTGCTACACACAATTTAAATAGTATAATTTGTTTACTTTTGGAATTTCTCCACTTAATATTTTCAACCTAAGGATGATCACATGTATATATAAAGCAAAACCACACACGAGGAGGCACTCCCTCCAACAACAAAAACATCGACAAAAATAGGTTTATTTTTGTCTATGGTTTCCTTCATATTAGAAAGAGTCTTAACCTTATCTGAAAGGCCAGAATAGTCAAATCCAGAGAGCCTGGAAATAACTATTTCTGGAAGCTGAGAAGGGTAGTGGAAGGGAATGCTGGGATTACTACTTGATGAGTTTGGAACAATAAATTTTTAGTGTGATTGTTTTGGAATTAGAGGTGATAGTTTCCCCACATTGTCAGTGTGCTAAGAGCCATGAAATGGTTCACTTAAAAAATCCAGTAAGGCAGCTGAGCAAAGTAGGGAGTGTCTATAATCCCAGTACTTGGGAGGAGAGGTAGGAAGCCCTTGAGTTCAAGACCAGCTTGCACTAATATGAGCCCCTGTCTCTGAAACAGATACAGTCTTGTGACCTCAGACAACTATAATACACTGTGTATTAAAAGAGCAAAGAATGATTTTAAATGTTGTCAACGTAAAAGATATATTATTAAATGTACACATATATACCCCATAAAATGTGCAATTTTTCTCTTCATGTCTGTCAAATGTTGATTTAGGAAAAGAATAATTCATTTTATATGACTTATACACCCAAAAATATTAAAAGAAAAACCTTTATCTTTGTTATCCATGGGATCATCTCTCTTTGGATATGTGGGGTTATATTGGAAATGCTTACCACTTGGTTGTCATCAAGTCCTGACATCCAGCTAATAGCTGGTCCCTTTCTGGAAACGGAAACTTCTATTTTGTTGGTAATTTCAGTCTTCAGATTATAGTATGTGTCTCTTAGGGACAATGGAAAGGATGTCTGGCTAGTTATTAATGGATATATATATATATATGTATATATATACACATATATATGTATATGTATATGGAAAACTTTTGGGCTTGTTTGCATATTTATTTTGTGGTGTTTTAGTTGAAGCTTAAGACTTTCCACATGTTAGGCACTGAGTTATGGCTTTCTGCCCTAAAATTGTTAAAGTAGGTTGATCTCTATATTTATAATAAGATAAATTGATGAGAACACATCTTTTATGGGGTTTATTCTCTTAGTAAGGAGAATTAAGGACAAAAAATCATTAAAAATTAGCTTCTTAAAGGGTTTTGAAATTTGTTTTAAAATCAAGTGTGTGTCTCATAGATGCCCAAGGTTAGGGCTTCAATCATTCCCACCTGAATAGCCAGTCCCTCCACCTAGAGCCAGGAAGTTGACCTGGCTCAAGCTGCTTCTGAGGGCCACGTCTGGGTCCATGGTCCAGCTACAGCTGAGGTCTGTGTGGCTGTCTGTGGCCTGTGTCACCTCAGGAGGTCTTAGGAACTATGCAAGATGAAATCAGAGGGCCATGTTGACTTGGCTCTGCCCCTTTGCAGGCCCTGGGAAAGCAGGACTTGCCTCTCACTGGACACTACAGCAAGAGTGTTGGCCCCTGCTGGAGAGATGGCCCTACCCATCAACACAGCAAGGATGAACCAACCCTGAGGGCATGCACATAGGGGAGCTGCCTCTACCCCCTCTCCTAAGGCAGGTTGCCCCAGGGGTCTAGATTGATCATGTTGGCTACCATCTAAGTCCACAGTTGGGCTGTGGGTTGACCCACCTTAGCATTTACACCATCTAGTACCTAATACCTGCTGGAGCTGATGAAGGAATTGGCTGTTTTTGTGGAACAAGATCTCTAAGACTTGTGGCTGTTGCAGGATATCCCAGAGGAGTTCCTATGAGGACCCAGTGATGATAGTGTACTGGTGTGGGAAAATTGTATTCTGTTAATTATCTTTTAAATAAACACTGATTGGTCAGTATCCAGGCAGGAAGTATAGGCAGGACAACCAGACAGGAAGTAGAGGTGGGTCAATGAGAATTCTGGGAAGAGGAAAGCTTGGTGCGCAGTTGTGAGCCCGCTACAGAAGAAGCAAGATGTGACTGTCTTGCTGAAAAAGGTACCAAGCTATGTGACTAGCATAGACAGGAATAATTGGCTAATATAAGTCATAAGAGTTAATAAGAAGCCTGAGATAATGGGCCAATCAGTTTATAGTTAATGTAGACCTCTGTTTGATTTCTTTGGGAATTAATGACTGCAGGAACTGGGTAACATCAGTGTACCAGAAACCAGAGGCCTTGAACCTGACCAGTGACTCATTGCAATAACCATTTGCCAGTAAAAACTGATGGGACAAAGAGGTATATAGTATGGCACACTGAAACCTCCATTGCTACAGGGAGGAATGAAGAGGTGTTGGAGAGGAAGGAAAGGAAAAGCAAAGAGATTTTTCTGTTGGTGTGGTTTTGTTTTGTTTTGCTTTTGTTTAGTTGATTGCTTACTTTGATTTGTTTCCTTTGGTAGGGGGCATGGCAGGGATGTGGGGGAAGATAGAGGGGGAACTGGGAAGTGAGCCGAATTGGGGTTCATGATGTGAAACTTCCAAAGAGTCAATAAAGAAGTTAAAAATGAAAAAAAGTTTTTAGGGGTTTTGGAAAATATTTTCCTGAATATGGCCTGGCAAAGTTCTTTCTTAGCTGATTCTGATGTTTTAATAAAATATGTACTTACAGGCTTAATAAAACCAAGTGTGTCTCTTTGTGGGTCTGTGCACATGAGTGCAGTGTCTAGAGGCCAGAAGAGGGAGTAAGATACTCTGGAGCTAATGTTCATGCAGTTGTGAGTTACCTGATGTTGGTGTTGGGAACTGAACTTGGGTCTTTTGGAAGAGCAGCACTTGCTCTTAAGTGCTCAGTCATCTCTCTAACCCTCTTTCCAGGACAGACAAAAATCATAATATTATTTTTCTCAAGGGAATGGACTTATCAATGGAGAAGAGTGCTAATGCACACACTCGTTCTTACATCACACACCCACTTGTACTTAAAAAAGATTATATGCCAACTTCAAAATATCCAAATAACTGTTATGATAACAAGTTATCACAAATATTACAACAAAACTGTAGGTAATCTTAAGTGGAACCATTGGTGCTTCAGGCATTTAGAGATTAATAGTCAAGCTATCAAACTACAACATAGTAATTCAGTCACTCAGTCTGGGGACCCCAACTCCATGAATAAAAGAATCAGTAAAGAAAGTCAGTGAAGGGGAGTTAAAAAGAGATTATTATTACTTCAGGACATCTCAAGACCAAGTTCTCAGCTCAAAGGAGATTTATTTGCCCCAGAGGGACAGATGGCAGGGAATATGAGACAAAGACAGGAAACAAAGGACAAAAGGAAAGGGGAAGAAAAAAAGAGAGAGGGGGAGTGGGTATCTGTTTCCCTGGGATAAACAACTGCCTCTGGACAGAGAGGAGACAGATGTGGGCCATCAGCAAATGGTGGTTTTTAAAGGTATAAGGTAAAACCCTGTGTTAGGATGAGGTGTTTAATTGGACATGTTTATTAAGTGAGCCAAAGTGGGCTTTTGGTTGCTGGACTTTGGTGGTGAGCCGCAGGAGGTGGAAGTGGCCAAATAAGGGAATGGACCATGCTGGTTAGCTTTAGGAATGCAATCTAATGGTTTTTATCAAGGCAAAGGGATTGGGAGAAGGCCAAGTCCCGCCAGAGTCACAGGCTTGAGTGGGCTACTGTACCTTCAGAAGTGACCTATGATATCTAGATGGTGGCAGGTGGGAGATGAGGATGTTTAAACTTTTTCTAGTTACTCAACTATCATATCTGATGGTTGCCTTCAAGCGGAATGAGGAAGAGGATGAGGATAGGGGATCCACTCATGCTTCAAATTTTTAGGTTTTTAGTTTTAATTATGCAACTCCTCTAGAGATGGAGATAGAGATGGGCTATAAATTGCCCAATGCAGGCTTAAAACTGATCTCTGATCCTATGGAAGAGCAGGCAGTGCTCTTAACTGCTGAGCTGTCTCACCAGTTCCACCTTCAACTATTTTCTCTTCTTGACTTCACTTCCTGTCTTCTGATCTCACTTCCTGCCTTCTTTCTTGCTTCCTATGTTCCCTTGTGCAAGAGCAGCCATGTATATAGTATAGAATATACTATATGCCACCATATATACTATATGCCACCAGAATGCCACCATAGTCACATTGTTGCATTGTTATGTCTTGATAAGTAGAGGGGTTTAGGGAGTGCCCAGAATTCCTGGTCAGGACTCTGGATGAGAGAGGAATACTGTCATTCTTTAGGGGTCTAAGATGTGGTCTTCTTATGGGGTATGTGAAAAACTATACCTCACTGGGGTTTTTCTTATAGAATTGAGACTGAGCTTGGTTCAGGAAAGCACCTACTGACTCTCTCATTAACGACCTGCTCTTCAAGGACAGCTGAGGATTGGAAAATATGGCTTCACTGATAGGAACCTTTGAATGAGGTTCAATGTTAACTAAAATGGTGTAGTAACAGATTCTCATAACCTCCGGTTATTTTGCCCAGCCTCCTCAGCCTCACCAAGTCCCTGTGTTCCTCCCTAAGATAAAAACATGGATATGCTACATGGCCACTGAATTGCTGAAGTGGGTAACATTATGGAAGGATGATCTTGCTATATGCCTTACCAAAGTACTCAAGAAAGAACTTCCTTCCTGGTTAACAATGTGAACAGATCAAATATTTATATATGCACAGTTTCAGCAGTAGGGTTGAGACTATGTTCTCATACATTAGTAATGGGCAGAAGCTGGTGACCCAGCTAAACCAATGCCATGAGAACTAGTGCTGCTTTGCTTGCTCACCTCTGGACATGCATAAACATTCATGTAGATGATAGGGAGCCCTTGTGCCATGTTTCAGCATTGGGTATGGCTGTAGATAATAAGGGTCTGAGAGTGTAATACACAGAATATATATCACCTAGAAAGTTGAGTTAAGACCCTGACTGAAAAGATGTCTGAGCTAAGAGAACCTGCTGCTTTTGAAGAGGATGTGAGTTTGATTCAAGGCACCCGGTTCAAGTGACTCACAACTACCTGTAACTCTAGCTTCAGGCCTGATTCTTGCCTCCACAGGTACCTGCACATGTGTACATGCACACATAAAGACAAATACACATAAGCAGGAGAAAGACTCTGGTCAAAACAAAGCTTATGGTTGGGGATGTCAAAGATCCTAATGTATAACCTGCTATTGTTATTTTGCTAAGTGGTCAAGTTGTCCTCTAAGTTTTTCTTTTCTTTATTTATTTAAATTGCTTTTTTTCCCCATTTTACATACCAGTTCCAGTTCCCCTTCTCTCCCTTTTCCTGCCTTTACCTCCTCCATCCCACCCCCATCTACTCCTCAAGAGGTTTAAAGTCTCACTTGGAGAATCAACAAAATCTGGCGTATTAAATTGAGGTAGGTTCAAGCCCCTCCCCCCGTATTAAGGCTGGGCAAGGTATTCCATCCAAAGAAATGGGCTCCAAAAAACCAGTTCATGCACTCCGGATAAGTCCTGGTCCCACTGTCAGGGCCACCCCAATGGATCACCCACATTCAGAAGGCTTAGTTCGGTCCCATGCAGGTTCTCCAGTTGTCAGTCCATACTTAGTCTGTGTACTCCCACTCGCTTGGGTCAGTTGTCTCTGTGGTTTGCCCCATCATGATCTTGACCCCTGCTTGCTCATATGATCCTTTCTCTCTCTCTTCAGCGGAACTCCAGAAGCTCAGCTCAGTTCTTGGCTATGGGACGCTGGATCTGCTTCCATCAGTTACTAGATGTAGGTTTCTATGATGACAGTTAGGGTAGTCACTAATCTGATTATAGGGGAAGGCCAGTTCAGGCACCCCATCCACTATTACTAGGAGTCTTAGCTGTGTTAATCCTTATGGAAATTTCCCTAGTCCCAGGTTTCTCCCTAATCTCATGTCTTCCTCTATCAAGATATCTCTTTTATTGCTCTCCCTCTCTGTCCCTCCTCCCAACTCAGGTCATATGGAGTCCTCTTATTCCCATCCCCCATCTGCTTCCTTCTATACCCTTCCCAGTTTTCCCAGGAGATCTTAACGATTTCTCTTTCCTGGGGCCCTTCATGTGTGTCCTTCTTAAGGTCTTCCTTTTTACCTAGCTTCCCTGGGGCTGAGGACTGTAGTCTCGTTATCCTTTGCTTTACATCCAATATCTACTTATGAGTGAGTACCTACTGTGTTTGTCTCTCTGGGTCTGGGTTACCTCACTTGGGATTTTTTTTTCTAGTCCCATCCATTTGCCTGAAAATTTCAAGAGATCAAGGCAACTCTTGCTAAAGGAAGCATTTAAAGGAGCTTACTTACAGCCTGAAGGGCTTAGTCCATTATCATTATGAAAGAGAGCATGGTAGTGCAAAGAAAGTTAAGTGTTGGAGTATTACCTGAGATCTTTGCATTCTGATCCATAGGGAGGGGGGGCGGGGTCGGGGAGACCCCAGGCTTGATATGACCCAGGCTTGATGTGAGCTTTTGAAACCTCAAAGCCCACCCCCATTGACACTTCCTCCAATAAAGCTACACCTCTTAATCCTTCTAATCTTTTCAAATAGTTTCCCGCCCTGGTGACTAAGCATTCAAATATGAGCCTGTGGGGATCATCCTCCAAGAGTGGTATCACTAGATCTTGAGATAGATCAACTCTTAGGTTTTTGAGGAAACTCCACACTGATTTCTATAGTGTTTGTACCTTTGCACTCACACCAGCAACGAACAAGTGTCCCCTTTCCCTGCATCCTCACCAGCACCTCCTGTCATTTGTTTTATTGATCTTGGCCATTCCAACTGGGAGAAAGTGAAATCTCAAAGTAGTGTAATTTGCAATTCCCTGATGGCTTAGGATACTGAACATTTCTTTAAAGTGTTTCTCAGCCATTTTTGTTTCATCTGTTGAAAACTGTTTGGGTCGGTACCCCCATTTTTAACTGAGTTTTTTATTTTCTTGTTTTTTCTTTAGCACTTTATTCTAGGTATGAACACTTATCAGCTATGTATTTGGTAAGATCTTTTCACACTCTGAAGCCTACTGTTTTGCCTGAATAATGATGTCCTTTGCTGCACAGTAGCTTTTCGGCTTTGTGAAGTCACATTTATTGTTAGTCTTAGTTCCTGTGCTGTCAGTGTTCTATTCAGAAAGTCCTTTTATGTGCCAGTGGGTTCAAACCTATTCCCTACTTTTTCTGGTTATCTGTTTTTTTAAACAATCTCTTTATTTTACATACCAATCTCTCTCTCCTCTTCCCATCTTTCCCACCCCACTCCCCATTCACTCCTCAGAGAGGGTAAGGTCTCTCATGGGGAGTCAACAAAGTCCGTCACATCATTTGAGGCAGGACCAAGACCCTCTGCTCTGAATGTAGATTGAACAAGATAGCCCTCCTCAGGGAATGGGCTCCAAAAAGCCAGTTCATGCCCTAGGGATAAATCCTGGTTCCACTGTCAGTGGCCCCACAGACTGCCCTCTAAGTTTTAAAGTTTATTCTTGTAGACCCAGACTGCTCTTAACCTGGGTCAGAAAAGTTTCTTGGACAGCAAAAACAAAACAAACTCACAACTCGGTGGGCCTGCAACTCCAGTGCTGGAGCGGTGGAGACAGGCTCACAGGACAGTCAGTTTCATCAAATCGGGAAGTTCCAAGTTTAGTGAGAGACCCTCTTTTGATATGGTAAAGACGCCAAACACTGACCTCTGGTCTCCACATGCATATGAATGAACACACATGCCCCCCCCCCCCCCACACACCAGGATCATGTAGGGAAATAACTCAACGACAAAGTCCTTAGTTATTGTGACCTACATAGCCTGGATCTTAAAACCCTGACTGGGGTGGCGAGAGGATGAAGAAAGGACAGATAGACACACATAGAAAATATCTGGGATTGGGTGAATGTCTGCTACCACTGGAGGGCAAAAACTACTTCCAGCCACCTGGGTCATCAGTACGTTTATGAGATACTAAACAAGGAGATAGGTTAGCAAGATTTGATAAGCAGTCTCTGTAGGCAAGCAGTCTAAGGTTATAAATGCCATGGTTAACATTAAAGATTTTAGTAACTATGCTTGAGAAATTGCAAAATGAAAAAAATTTATCTAGCATGTAAGCCTGTAGTTGGTACAAACTTGAATCTAGCAGCCCACCTCCTATTTTCCCAAGACATTGAAGACTGTCCTTAATTGACTGATCTGGTAAAACTGGTGTTCTTGCAAGACAGTAGGTCAGTAGGTCAGAAGGTTAACTGCTCTTTCTGTTTCTGTAATCAAGCTCGCTTACTCTGCAGAATACATGTTATCTTGTGGATTTTGCCTAAGGCCGGGGCTGATACGATTTATGGCTGCATTTTTAGAGCACTCTCAGGGGCATCAATCAGTCCAGGTACCAGCATCTAAATAAAAAGCCTCGTATGAAAATTTCTTCTGTGAGCGACCCCAGATTCATAGCAGCAAAGACCCAGGAGGAGGAAACCAAAGTTTCTAGTCTCTATACACACTTGTCACCCAACTGCACTTGGATTCTATAGGAAAGTTTGGCAATCCTTCTTGGACCTAACCTGGGCAAGTCTTGCCCAATCCTGTGGGGCTGAGGCATTGGAGTCCTGGACATGGCCATGCTTAGGTCAATAATACACGTTCAGTCAGGCCTTTACTCTCTCAGGGCTTCCTCTACTCCCTACACCTAGCTGTGTAAGGCTTTGGTTTGGTCCCCAGGGCTGCACACTAAGACATAAAACCAGAACCCAGCATATACTATAGAAATAGGTGCAATCAAACAATTGCCTCATTTATTTCCTGCTCTGCATTCTCCCCTACTGTTGTCTAGCAATTTCTTCTGAGATTAAAAAAAAAAAATCTTTCATCTTGGAGGGAAGCTCTTTAAGGTGCAGGGTGTTCTAAAGGAGGTGAAAGATTCTGCCCTGTGTGGCAGATCCTTAAGCTCCGAAAGTAAACAACTCAGTGCTTCAGAAAGGCCCTGAAACTGACCAGATTATGCTAGGGCCCTTCCTCCCCAAGCATGCATAAGTAGTAAAGTGGCTGGCTAAGGGGCACTCTCAGACCAGACCAGACCAGACCAGACCAGACCAGACCAGACCAGACCAGACCAGCGGCCTGGCGGAGAGTCTCCAACCTGTTGAACTATCTGCAAGTTGTGTAGCATGCTCCAGGTTGTCAGTTTTCTTGAACAACACCATTCTGGGGTGGACTTTGGTGATGCAACCGTTTTTGTAAGTCGCTCCAATAAAGCTCATTGGCTCACCAAGTTGGATTTTTCCCGGTATTCATACTTCGGCCCATTTTTGGTCCCCTATATGGGGTGTATATCTCTCATATACCTGGGAATAGTGTCACATTATAACCTAAGATCTCTTCAGTTTTGTGGGAATCCATTAGTAAACACAGCTGTTCATGAATGCTTTCACCTTTATTTCTCAATATACCCGTGATTATAAACATTTCACACATAACATTTTTTTTCAGTGACTTGTGTGGTTTATACAGAGACATGGGTGGAATAAAGGATAAAACATTTAGCCCAGCTACAAAAAGATCAGACAGGGTGGCCAGAGGGTCTTCACCCACACTCTCAAGGCCCATTACTCCTTTAATGATGATGAATAATGATGCCAGGTGGCATCAAAAAATGAAATGAAGGAAAGAAGATTCCTTTTTCTTAGGATCTGGTTGGTCACTGTTAATGGTCAATTGTGGATGGCTCGCCTTCATTTCTTGAATCAGATTTTGGGTTCTCGGGTTAGTGTTATCAAATTTCAACCTAGGTCACAAACGGGGAGAAAAATAGTTTCTTGTAGCTTTCAGAAAATTCATTAAAAATTCCAACATACCTTAAATGTTTCATGGGTCACTTTAACACTATGCTGCAAAGTAGAATTGCATATTGATATTTTAGATTTTATTTGGTATATGGTACATGCATATGTGCCCATGTGTATGTTGGTAGACTACACTCCTGGACTACATGTAGAGGCCAGATGTTGTTATAGGGATGGCTTTCTCAAACAATTCATTACCATACTGCTGCCACCCGATTTGTCTATAAATATTTTGCCTGCAAGTATGCATGTGCCCAACATGTGTGCCTGGTGACTGTGGGAGCTCAGAAGAGGGTATTAGAGCCCCAGAACTGGAGTTCCAGATGGCTGTGAGCCACCATACAGGTACTGAAAATAAAACCTAGGTCCCCTGCAGGAACAGCAAGTGCTTTTAACTGCTGAGCCCTCTGTCCATCCCCCCACTATCTTGCTTTTCTGAGTCAAGATCCCTCACTGACACCTGGAGCTCGCCATTTTGGTTAAACTGACTGACCAGTAAGCTTCCTGAATCTTCCTGATCCCATTCCCAGGTATTGGGGTTATAGACCTGGATGGTCTATAGCTTTTATGTGGGTATTGGTGATTCAAACTAAGGTCCTCATGTTAGCACAGCAAGAGTTTGACACACTAAGCTAACTTCCTAGCTACAGCATGTTGGGTCTCCTTAGCCTATGCCAACCTCAAACTCACTGTGTAGCTGGGGATGGCCTTGAATTTCTGATCTTCCTACCTCCCTCTTCCACATTTACTACCACACCCAGTTTTATGCAGTTCTTAGGATCAGATTCAAGGCACACACTAGGTAAGCACACCACTGACTGAATCCCACACTTAGCCCTGCACATTGATTGAATAGGGCACAGATATCTGTAGCAATAGAGACACTGCATAGCTGTACATCCTTCAGTCTTGATCACACTGTACTTTGAATCAGGGTTTCTGACTGCAACAAGAACTCATTGATGGGCAAGGTTAAGTTGTGTATCAAGTGTTTGGGACCTGCCTGCCTGTGTAATTCCAGCCTTCGAGAGGCAAAACATAACTTTTTTTTTCCTCTCTTGCCTCCAGGATCCTAACCTGTTTGAGCTCCTGTCCTAACTTCCCTCAATAATAAAAAGCAATACAGAAGTATAAGTCAAATAAACCTTTTCCTCCCCAACTTGCTTTTTGGTCATTGTATTTTGTAATAGCATTAGAAATCCTAAAATAGCATACCCTGTTAGCCAAATTAGCTATGAGAAAAAGACCACATCTCAACCCAAGGGGACAGCTGCTTGATCATGGGAAAAGAATGTTGTTTCTATGCCAGTCTCCTGAAGATAGTATGAAATGCAGCAAAAGGATTAAAAGAACCAACATCTGATTTAAAGGAGACAGTTTTGGGGAATGGCTCCATAGAAGGATATGTGGGACTGGTTTTCCTGGTTAATATACCTGGGTCTGCTCTCTGGTATAGTTCTCCTTTCTTAAAATCTTAGCTTGCTTACTCTTCTGGAATGATGGGTATCTCCCAGATTACAGGTCATTAAGCTCCAGATGGGCAAACATATAACTTAAAGCCTGGCATTCATGTCCACGCTGGGGTTCTTGTGCTTGAGTTCAGTCATTTTATTAAGCAAGCTATCTCCCCACCATTGTGAAAATTTGTGCTCTTTGAAAGAACACCTCATGCTGAAATCTAGGAATGCTTGAAATTCAGTACATAAGTCCAACTGGGGCAATCTGATCTCAAACTCCCAAGATCCAGAAATCAGGGCTGTGCCATCATACTAGGTTTCCACTTTTTTTAGAGACACCATATTTGACTTGTCCTTTGTTTTCATTAATAAGACAAATATCTAACCATGACGGCTTCTTGGTCTCTCGTGCAGTGTTGACTTCATTCTGTGACCCAGTTTACACATCAGTGCAACAGAAATATTAAGGAGAAGATTAAGATTATTTTGTGACCACTGGGTGTGGTGATGCATGCCTTTAATCCCAGCAATCAGGAGGCAGAGACAGGTGGATTTCTGAGTGAGACTAGCTTACTCTATGAAGTGAGTTCCCGGATAGCCAGGGCTATACAGAGAAATCCTGTCTTGAAACATTAAAAAGATAATATTGAGTGAGCAAATGCAATGATTGCCAGTGACTAATGTCAACAGTGAACTGTTCAGTATCATTGGGGATCTCACCTCCACCAAACCACCCTTTATGAAATAGGAAATAGGATCACACCTGAGTGTTTGAAGGGGGCAAATGCAAAGTTTCAATCTTCCTGTCTCACCCTCTTGAGGGTCGGGATCTCAGTCTTTCACCACCACTCTCAGTTTGCATTTTTCTTGTCTATTAAGAAATACTGGTGCTGCCAGTTGGTGGTGGCGCACACCTTTAATCCCAGCACTCGGGAGGCAGAGGCAGGCAGATCTCTGTGAGTTCGAGGTCACTCTGGTCTACAGTGCGACTTCCAGGACAGGCTTCAAAGCTACAGAAAAACATTGTCTCTAAAAGCAAAATTAATCAATCAATCAAACAAACAAACAAACAAACAATACCTCTCAAAATAAAACAAAAAACCAAAACCCCCAAAGAACAAAGAATCCAAAAACGAAACAAAACGAAACAAAACAAAACAAAAAACTGGTGCCTAGTCAGCATTCACTTTGGAAATTTTTCTTTGATTATTCTGTGATATTACCTGGAAACTGAGATTTTAAAAGCTATGAGCATTTCTGTTATGAAGTAGAATTTGAACACGGCACATACACTATATTAACTTGTGTTGTAGATACCAGATAGCACATTTTCTTTTAAAGTATTTGACAAGCTATGTATGGTGGTGCACACCTACAAACCTAGCTCTTGGAAACTGCGACTGGAAAAGTGAACATTTGAGGGCATCTCGGACTAGGTAGTAAAACCTGTTTCAAAATATTTGATAAAGTTTGTGTGCAAGGTGTACAACAGGATTTAATGTCTCTTGTGCATCAAGGACCCCAAAGAATTAATTTGGTTACCACCACAATGTATTAAATCTCCAAACTTGTCTTTGTAACTTCTGGAAGTTTTTTTTTAATCAATATTTCCGTTTCTACCTCTAGGTCTTGGAAACCACTGGCTTACTCTATGCTTCTGTGAGTCTGGCTTTTTAAGTTTTCTGGGCATTCATTGAAGACATACTAATACTAGCCTAAGTATAGCAACCCAAGTACCACCAACAGATCTGGTGGGTTAAGGAAAGTGGGGTAAATGCCTACAATGGAACATTACTCATTCGTAAAAAGACAAGGAGTCCTGGCATCTGTGACAACGTGAGTGAATTAGGAGGACAATATGTTGAGTGACATTCAAATGACCTCCCTTCTATGCAGAGGATTCTTCTTCACGTGTCTCCTACAGGTAAGGGTTGTCACTAAGAGCATTTGATTGAGGATCCTAGCTTTCCTGAGATTTATAGGACAGAATCATGGTCACTCTACTGACCTCATGGCAGGCACAGGTTTGCCTCATGCCTAACTCCTGTCTTTACTAACCCTGGGTATTGGACAGCACTGGGTACTTCTGCTTGACTTGATGCAACTCATCTTTAAGATTCTTCAGAGGAGACCTTTGTATGCTCTATATATGTTTGTAAATGTCTAGGTGCATGCACATGTATGTAGATGTTGAGGGTTGACACTGCAACTTCCTCCATCACTCTCCACCTCATATTTTGGGATAGGGTCTTCTCTATGAATCCAGGGCTGGTGATTTGGCTGTAATGACTGCTTGTTGAGCCCCAGAGATCATCCAAACCCTGCCTTACCAGTACTGACATTATAAAGGTGCACCATCTCACCTGACTTTTTTATGTTGATGCTGGGAATCTGAACTCTGGTCTTGTGATTGCACAGCGAGCAATTAGATCCACTATCTAATTTCTTTTTTATTTTTTTAAAAAAGTTTACACATATGTTTGTGTGCACAAGGAGGCTAGAAGATTCCCTGGAGATGGAGTTACAGGAGGTTTGGAGCCACTAGATGTGGGCTTGGGAAAAACCTAAGTTCTCTGCAAGAGCAGTAAGTGATTTTAACTGATGACCTATTATTCTTCCATTCTTTTGTTAGGTGATTAAAAAAATACTCAAGTTGGGCTGGAACAAGATCTGTGGGTTAAGGCACTTCCTGCCAAGCCTGATGTCCTGGGTTCGAACTCCAGATCCCATATGGTGGGAAGAAAGAACCAACCTCCCTCATGTTGTCCTATTGAACATTAAGCACCAACCATAGATACACATACTAAAAAGTGTGATACAATACTCGACTTGACTTGACTCAAGCCCTGTCTGTATTGCTCATGAAGGCATCTGGTACACTTGACAGCTCCTTTGAGGTACTTACAGTTCAACAAGGCATAACTCACCACAGACTTTTCAAATTACTCTGGGGTTCCTTTAAGGCATTGCACAGAAGTCTCACATCCTCACTTCCAATATGATTTAGTCCCAGATCCAAGTGCTCCAGATGCAGTGCTTCTCTGAGCATCTTTGATAGATGGCAGCAACCTTCGCTGGTGATGCTACAGGACCGCAGTCTGGAAAACCACAGGACAAGGACAAAAATAAGGAACAAACTAACCCATTAGTCCATTCTGGGATGATGGACCCAAACCACAGCCCTTTTTACCTCAACCATGGGTTTCAGTTAAGCTTAGAGATGTTGGAATAAATGAGGACATTAGAATGAAATCACAGAGTACATTTCCAGATGGGTTTTCAAAAAAATCCTTAATGTTATTAACTGCCTTAATTTCCTTCTGTTCCACTTTCCCATCCCATCCTCATTTAAAACCCCCTTCTACAGAGAAATTGGAGAAGACTGAATGCGATTAAAATATATTGTATATATGTATGAACTTCTCAAAAAATAAGGAAATAAAATTAATTGGTATGGTAGGTAACCTCATTTCTGCTATTGTCAACCTAGGCAACTACCTGTGGCTAGAAGAGGGCAAAGACTCTAGAAGAACACTTCTTTGTTAAATGAATACATAGTTTCAACTGCCTTTTAAATGCTCATGCTCATAGATAAATGCAGCTCTTATTCATCAACAAAGAAACCATTATATTTGTAGTACTTTATGGATGGGGACAAGATCTGCGATAAGTTCCTAGCAGGGTGCCTCTGCCCCGTAGGTGCTTATCATCATTATTGCTAATCATCATTATTTCATGACTGTGTTTGGTTGTCTTGGAGGATAGTGACTTTTCTGCAATGTCGCTTTTTCGTTTTTTGTTTTTTGTCTTTTATCAGACAGGGTCCCTCTCTGTGGCCTAGGCTGTAGGCTGTGACCCTCCTGCTTCTTGACTTCCAAACACTGATTTTCAGGCATATGCTGTCATGCCTGTATCGATGATAGTGCCTTCAAACATAATTAGGCTGTAAGTTCAAGATAGGGCTTGGTAGTGAATATGTTCTTCAAGACTTTGGATTTTGGTGTTTGGGTATTTAAATAGTGTATTGTTGGAGAGTTCTTTCTTTCCATCTATCTCCAACCATGAACTTAATATTTCATCACATATAAATAATGACGTAGTCATCCAACCCTAGTTGCTTAAAGGTATAACAAAGCTTAAAACTATAAGCAACTCTGCTGAGAGCTTTCCTTCCTTCTTGCCTCCTTACTTCCTTTTGTGGTATTGAGGATGGAACACAGGACCTTGTACACAAACTACACTACTTATTTTATTCTTTGGTCAACTTGACAGAAGTTAGAGTCACCTGGGAAGAAGAAACCTCAGTTGAGAAAGTGCCTCCGTAAGATTGGCTTGTAGGCAAGTCTGTAGAGCATTTACATAATGGTTGATGTAGAGGAGCCCACTCTAGGTCATGCCATTCCTGAGCATGTTAGTCCTGGGTTGTATATGAAGGCAAAGTGAACAAGCCAGTAAGCAACACTCCTCTAGGGCCTCTGCATTAGCTCCTGACTCTAGGTCCTGCCTTGACTTCCCTTCATGATGGACTACAATGTGTAGCATGAAACAAAGTCTTTTCTCCCCATGTTGCTTTTTGTCATGGGATGTATCACAGTAATAGGGAGCAAATGAGAACAAATTGTACTGGTGACTTCCAACAGAGCCAGTGTTTAAATGTTACCAGTGACCTCTCTGTTAACCAGAATATCAATGTCATCAATGTTAATACAGTTTCTGCAGAGTGGCCAGTACAGTCCCATTAGACTTCGGAAATTAAATATGTGAACCTCCTCTTTGCAACAGTCAGAGATCACTGACCAGTCAAAATGCAGAGTTCCGGAGCCAGTTCTAATGGGTATACCTGTAAAACATGCTTACACTTGAGTTCAGGGAAGATGGTAGAGGAGTCAGTAAATATTGAAAGAACCAGAAGATCAGGGAGTTTACTATGAGATTGTCTCTCCTAGTAATGTCAGAAACTAGACCCATAAAGTCTCACCACCGTGACTACCCAAACATGAGCTGAACAAGGATGATACTAATGGACAGGCAAAACTGGACAGGGAAAAGCCAATGAGGTCTCAACCCTACACAAAAAGACAATAGGCAACTTAAGAAAACTGGGAACAGGAGAAGTGGTCTATCCCTAGGGACCACCAATTGGTTGTCCAGTGCCCAGTGGTCAGTCCTGAAAAAACACCTAACAGTAACATTATATGGTTTCAATAGTTTATATTTAGGAATGTATATATATATATACACACACACACACATACACATATATATGTATGCATGTACATATATGCATATGGTAATGATTAGTTAAAAGAGGCCATGAATTTTAAGGAGAGTGCGGAGGGATATATGAGAAGGTTTGGAGGGAAGAAAGGGAAGAGAAAAATGTTGCAATTTTATTATAATCTCAAAAATTATATATATATATAAAAAATGAATCCTATAGATTCCAGGATGAACACCAAGGGTCACATTGAACTTGTGGACAAGATGATTCTGCCTCTATCCAACCATGTGTACTTTGTTACATAGTGAGAAGAACAGATTTGAATAGGAAATGAAGCTGGCTTGGTGACACATAACTTGGGAGTCTAAGGCAGGAGGATTGTTTTGAGTGAGATCCTGTCTCATAAAAATACTTAAACAGTGTAAGAGCTGGAGGATGCAGAGGAGTGATGTGAAAGTGTCTTCTGGACGTGCTATGACTGCATCACACAGGAACCCACAGGAACTATGGTTACCTGCAGAAGACCAAGTCAGGCAGGAATCCTGTATATATGGGGGAAGTTCCTGAGGCCCTACCCCTAGCTAGAAGCTATTGATAGCTGATAGCTTGTGAGGTAGGGAGAGCTACTGTTTTTTTTGTGAGATGCCTACTTATAGGTTGTCAATGCCCCAAGTATATGATGCCACCCTTGAATGCATGTCATCGGTACTAATTGGGCTTAGTGGGTTATACTTGACAAAAAGTTTGCAAAAGAACAAAAAGAAAAATCTAGGCATGGTGGCACATCCTTAAAATCTGGGTACTTGGTAGGTGGAGGATCAGGAGCCCAAAGTCATCTTCTGGCACAGAGTGGATTCAAGGCCAGCATGGGACACTCTAGACATTGTCTCAGACAAAAACAAAATGGAAGACATATCCATAAATCATATCTCCCTCTCAATTCACTACAGAATATTAACACCAAATATTCATATTCTACAATGGTGATAATAATAAGGTCAGGGCTTTACTCATGCTGTATATATCTGCTAGCATTAGGATGCAGCCCCAGCAAATGGTGTTTCTTATATCATTCTGACTTGGAAGATCATTAGCATATTTCTGCTAGCTAGAATAATCATGAATTTCTTTCATATGTATCATACTTAAGTACACATACAAACCCTCAAACATCTTCAGGCAAAGACGACTTACACGAGAGTTTGTAGTTTACACTCAGGGTATCTTAAGCTTTCACACAGGGTCTTCACTTCACCATTTTCAAGATTGTTCTTGGCCAGGCTGAAATGTGTCAGAGTCTGGCTGACCATCAAAATGGAAGAGAGGTCCTTGCAGCAGGATCCAGTGAGATGACAGTTCTCCAACCTGTGGATGAATCACACACCTGGACCATACAGGAGCGCCTCTACCAACTATCACTCTAGGAAGGGGAGAGGCTCATAGGCCCTACCCTTTATCTCTCAAATGTGGCTCTAGATAGACTTTAGCAGAGGGAGATTGCTATCCTTATTTGTATCTCCTCTGCTGAGCTCACCAGACTCCCACACATAGCTTCAAATCTAGTCTCACAGATAGCCTGGTTAATCTTGGTGAGTCACAAACCAAAATGAATAGGTATAAATGAGAAAGATTTATCGGGAGGATAGATTGAATGCCATTATGCATAATACACATGTCTTTTTGGAATTGTAAAAAAAACCCACAAAAATCCGAAGCCAAAACAAACAAAAAACAAAAAAAAATCATATAGCTATTAAAAGAGGAGAGGACATTTCCAGCTGTCTCCAGCAGGTAAAATCCTCACATTCCATCACACAGCCGTGATCACGCGAGGAATTTAGAATGAGAAAAACATATGACCAAGCCAGCCAAAATCCCAGAATGGATGAGGGAGGGGCTCATGTTTTCACCCTACAGCTGAGGAGCTATTGGCAATTGATGGATACTGGGGGAAAGGAGGGTCTAATTTTCTTCAGGGACAAGGTTCCTGAGAGGTAATCAGTGCTCTAGAAGGTTGTCCCACTCCCATGTACAATAAACAAACTCAGTTGGTTTAAGTAAAGAGCTGGTGAAATTGGGAGGAAATGGTGACAGGGCTAAAGGAAATTCAGAGGAGAGAAAACAGGGGATAAATTTTATCAAATGACACATATATGATATATATCATATATATGTGCATGTATGAAATTCTCAGTAAAAAAGAATGAGAAGCGCAAAATGCATGATGCAGAGTCAAAAACTCAGAAGCAGGTATCTGCATCCCAAGTGGACTCAAATGGATTGCCTGCTAAGTGTGGTGTCAACCAGGTCTCTCCTCTCTACAGCTCAGACTTCAGAGAGATGCTCTACAGGAAGAGAGGATATACTTACGACATCCTCTGCAGTTTGCTTTTCGGTTGCTTCCAAGTCTTACACAGCAGCTTGGCACCCTTGGCCCAGAGTTTGTTGTCTGTGAGGTCAGGACATGTCAGGGACTCATTGACTTTCAGGGCCTGGAAAAAGTCATTCCATTTCTGAAGAGCATCAGGAAAAGAACTCACACTGTGGGAGAAAGAAGAACCAGTATGTTCTGAATGGCCCAGAGAATGAGACATGAGGGTGGTTCTCCCAGTTGTGAGTTCATTAAGTGCATAGTGAGTCATAGTAAAAGAATAAATGCAAGAGAGAGCAGAATGTCAAAGCAGGCTGTAAAAAGCTAAGAGAACCTGACTGGAGCTAGTTGAGGTGGTCATATTATTTCTGAATAAGCTTGTTCTCCTTGGTTGAGCTTTCCATGGAAAAACTTTTGAGTTTTCTTTCCCATTGTAGGAATGAGTTCTTTACTTCTTATTGTTCAAATATATAAACTCTTGGGAAGTTTTGTGGTCTCCCTTTCTCGGATGAGTATGAAAATAAGGTCTAGTTGCCTAGTTCACCAAGTTTCATTCTTTCTCACATAATTTTGACCCTACATGCCTTTATTTTTTCATTTTTATTTATTTATTTATTAAAAATGTACACCTCCTCCCCACCTCCCTTTTCCTTCCTCCTCCCCAC